CTTAAAGAAAATATGTTACAAACTGGAAAAACTGAAGTCCAGTGGCTTCCCCCTGTTCTTTCCAGGCTTTAAAGTAGCTATATACATATTTGGTATCTACCATTAACCACAACCTCCCTCAGTATCCACACATTTGTCTCTGTGAAGAGGGTATTTGCGAGTGGGCCACAGGGTATTGGGCCTTGAGTTTAACTAGATAAGGAATTTTCCTCTCCCCAAAGGACATGGCTGCTCCAAAGAACAGTCACTCCCTACTCCTGCAGCACCATGGAGCTCTTCCAAACCTCCTGGAACACTATCCTGGGCAGTATGACACTTGGTTCTACCCCAGAGAGCATTCAGCTTCCAGCTTAAATTCTCAGCTCTCCCAGAAACCACTCTGAAACCTGCAAACTCACCATTTTTCAGCTAATGTGTAGGACTGCTGTTGGGTTTGATGACTCCTCCAGGTGTCCTATGTGAGGCGAGTCTTATGCTTTTGGTTTTTAATCTCCCTATTGATAGTAGTTAAGCTTTGTCTCTTTGAGTTAATGACCGCTCCTGCCACTGGAGCCAACAGAGCAAGATTTTTTTGTGTTTTTTTCTGCGTCTGTGCTAAAACTGTAGCTATAGCACTGATGGAAGGGAACACCCTAGAAATGAGCACGCGCGCGCACACACACACACACACACACACACATTATTTTCTCCCCACTCAGAGGGATCCGCACAGGAACCATGGGTCAGGCTCCTCTCTGTTGGCTCACGCCCATCAATTTAGGTGCACTGGTCCCTACCTGACTCCTCTCTTCTTCCTTTCCTAGCTTCAACTAAGATGCTCTGAGGGTCATTTAATTTAGGATATAATTCACTTGAGTTATCCAAATCACAGTCACTCCCTATTCCTGCAGCATCATGGAGCTCTTCCAACGGTTGCTGCAGTTCTAAGCCTGATGTTCAGCCTGGACTCTCTTGCCAACTAAATGTACTTTTTAAGAGCCAGTTCCTAGTTCTTTTTTGACATTTTAAAACTGAAAAATAGCCAATTCTATTTTAAAATAGAGAGCTGTGCAGTTTTATTCTTAAGTTACTATACCATCTAGGCTGCTCTATCCATGGGAACTTCTGACAAATATAACTTTATTCATATGTCCACTTTCCTGTCTCCCTCCATCCCTGTTTGGGCCAAGGAAACTCTAGCTCATTTTATCCTGAGAATCCTTCATTTTCTGGAGAAGTTGGTCATGCTTATTTGGCCAGAAGTCAATGAAGTATATTTATCAGGATCTAGCTAATCTTCTAAAGTAGTGTATTCTCTTTATATATTCTTTGTCCAGTTGATTCAAATATGATTTTTCAGGCAAAGGGGAATAAAAAGTCCATTGATCTATGGGGTAGATAGATCAATTGTGGTTTGGTCATCTGGAGAAATCTGGCTGCTTGTTATCAAGTGGGAGCAGAATCAACCATCAGTATGTCCATTAGTTAACAGACCTTGATTATACGGTGAAGGGATCTTCCTAGCCATCCCCGCCCGCCCCCCCCCAAAAAAAACTATCACTACCTGAACAAATGGCCAAGCAGAATTCTCTGAGAAAAGTCCTGTTCTCAATTACATGCCAAAAAAAGGGGGGGGGTCATAAAATACATACTAAGATTAATATGATTTACAATTTTAAAAAGGGCACTTTATAGTTTAAATTCTGATAGATATGAACAGATGCTGGAGGAGAAATAAGTTTTGGCCAACTGACTGTAGACTCTATAAATGGCTTAATGGCCTGCAAAAGTAACTCTGACAACTTCTAAGTTAGCTTTTATGAGCCAGGGCAAAATGAGCTCACTGAAGCCGCTAGTTCAGTGCACGAATTTACAAAGAGACGTTTAGTGAAACTTGCACTCCACTAAGTACCAAAACGCTGCAAATTAGAGACTGTTAGCCACAGGAGAGACAGACTGGGTTAGGCATCCAAAGAAACCCAGGTCTATTCTTAGAACTCCTTTATATGCTTAGATTTTTGGTAAACAAGTTATATAATTTAATGAGTTATCTTACCTCTCTGAGTCTCTATTTGAAAAAGTGAACAGCACAATTATTGAATGCCTACTACTTGGCAGTCATTTTGCTGGCACTGAGGGTAATACTTGGGTAACACTTGGGCTTCCCAGGTGGTGCTAGTGGTAAAGAATCTGCCTGCCAACACCGGAGATGTGGGTTTGATCCTGGGTCAGGAAGATCCCCTGGAGGAGGGCATGGCAATCCACTCCAGTATTCCTGCCTGGAGAACTCCATGAACAGAGGAGCCTGGTGGGCTACAGTCCATGGGGTTGCAGAGTCAGACACGACAGCATGCATCATATCGCCATACTGAGGATAACACAAGTAAGTGATGCTTATTTCTTCCATGTTATGTGCTAGGCTATATGCCAGGCATTGTGAAAAACCTTTAATATGAATTATCTAATTTAATTCTCACAGGAACCCTATAGAGAGAATACTATCACCATTACTGAAAATAATACTGTTCTGTGCTTGTTAGGGAGATGTTGAAACCAAAGCAGGGAGAAGTTAGTAACCTGTCCGCAGTCACCGCAGACCACACTTTTAACTGTTATGTTTAACTGCTTCCGTGTCCTCTAAGCTGAACAGTGCCTCCTAAACTTTAATGTGTTTACAAATCACCTGGTGAGTTTGTTAAAATACAGTGTCTTTTCTTTTTTACATGGAAAAAAAAATGTTTATAACAGCTTTAGTATAATACAGATTGAGACATAGTCATACGATAGAATATCATTCAGAAATATGAAATAATAAATCACTGATACTTATAATAATATAGATACATTTACATATTTATTATAGATTCCATTACTAGGAAGTTCCAGACCAAGCAAATCTAATCTATGGAGATCAATGAACAGGATTTGTCTCTGTGGGATGCAGACTACTTATAAGATGGCATGAGAACACTCTGGGAGGAGGAAAATATGAACTATCTTGGCTGTGGTGATCTCATATGGGTATATATTTCTTCAGACAGATCAAACTGCACATTCAAGTTATGTGCATTTCACACTGTAAATTTTATCTCAATTTAAAAGTAAGTGGGAAAAATGGTGAATTTTTAAAAGATGAAATATTTCCTCTTAAAATTTAAATTGTTACTATCAGCCAAAAATATATCAAGTTCTAAATAAGCTTTTTTCTTTTTATTGCCACGATGTCAAATCAAAAGCATGTTGTTTTCGCTGTTAAAATATGCTCCATCTCCAGATTATCTACACTTTATTAAGATGCTGACCTTGAATTTCAAGAACTTTAAAAAACATTCTGGAAATTGTAAGCAATCAAAAACAAAGTGGGAGAGAATGTGTTAATTAGCTTGACTGTAGCAATTCATAGTCCTATACATATATGAATATTTATGTATTACAGAACATTATATTGTATACCTTGAATACATGGTTTCAAGATAATTTTTTAAGATTTAAGATAAAATGCAGTTTCTTGCCATACAACCCAGCAATCCCACTGCTGGGCATACACACTGAGGAAACCATAATGGAAAGACACGCGTACCCTAATGTTCGTTGCAGCACTGTTTACAATAGCTAGGACATGGAAGCAACCTAGATGTCCATCGGTGGAGGAATTGATAAGGAAGTTGTGGTACATGTACACAATGGAATATTACTCAGCTATAAAAGAGAACACATTTGAGTCAGTTTTAATGAGGCGGATGAAACTGGAGCAGATTATACAGAGTGAAGTAAGTCAGAAGGAAAAACACCAATACAGTATATTAATGAATATATATGGAATTTAGAAAGATAGTAATGATGACCCTGTACATAAGACAGCAAAAGAGACACAGGTATAAAGAACAGACTTTTGAACTATGTGGGAGAAGGCAAGGGTGGGATGATATGCGAGAATAGCATTGGAACATGTATATTCCCATATGTAAAACAGATGATCAGTGCAAATTTGATGCATGAAGCAGGGCACCCAAAGCTGTTGCCCTGGGACAGCTCAGAGGGATGGGCTGGGAGGGGGGTGGGAGGAGGACTCAGGATGGTGGGACACATGTACACCCATGGCTGACTCATGGTGATGTATGGCAAAAACCGCCACTGTTTTTTTTCTTAACAATATTGTAAAATTAGCCTCCAATTAAAATAAATAAATTAAAAAAATAAATAAAATGCAGTTTCTGGTCAAGACATCTGGAGTGAAGTCCAAGAATCTGCATTTCCAACAAACTCTCAGTGATGGTGATGCCCCTGGATCATATCTGAGTAGCAAGACTGCAGTCCTGCAGTTCCATCCTAGCCAGCAGATTAGAAATACTTTGGACAGCTATTAAAACATTTCTAAGTCCAGGCCACATTTCATGTCAATTAAAGTTCTGGGCTGGAACTCAGACATGGAATCATTTTTTAAAGTCCCCCAAGTAATTCCAATACAGTGGTGCTCTCAAAGTCAATATAGTAGTCAATATTGATATTAAAAACAATAGAATATAGAGCACTGCATACTTTTTGTATTAGCTTGTGTGTGTGTATGTGTCTATTTATGTCTGTGATAGTGTATTGAGTTCTTGCTGTAAAATGTATTCCTCATTGTGGGTCAAGGTTAAAAAAGAAGAAAGCCATTCTATGTGCTAGAAGGAATACAATTTCTTTTTTCTCTCTTTCTCTCTACCTCTCTGTTCTCAAATTTTAAAAGAATTTAAAGGAGATTTCAGACAAGATCAGGCACATTCAGGGTGTTATGGGCGTAGACTAAAGCAGATTTCAAACATCTATGCGTCATTAAAATACTATCCTGGTCCACAGAAGTTAACATCTACTAGCGAGCCAGGTATTTTACAATACAAAAGAGTTATGTGCTATATGGAATATATGATGAGATGTCCTGAGTAAATAAGGAAGGTTGTGAATTACTATCTAAAGAATTCAGGGAAGATGTCATAGTAGAACTGACACGGTATCTGTGTCATGAATGGGAATCTGGCAGAGGGAAAGGAATTCTGAGGAAAGGCATTCCTTCTAGCTCACGCAAAGTTAAGTTATAGTCTGGATTTCACCTGCATGCTGACTGTAAATCTGGAGATGATGACTACTATGAAAATCTGTGTTGAGATGAAGTATCCTGAGAGTTCTAGGGGAAGTATTTATGGGAAACCTATATGCTGGAATGACTGACAGGAAGGTGAGAAGCCAGAGCTCAAAGGTGGAGAAGAAGCACCAAGAACTGGTTCTAAAGGAATAAGATGAGGAGGAAAAAAAGAATCATGAGATCAGGAAGAAATGCAACCAGAAATTGGTGATGAAGAGAAGTCTGAAATTGGTTGACATGGCTGGCTTAGAATAAAAAGGAGGCACAATTCATGAACATCAGAGATTATGTGGGCTTTATACTCAAGTAGACAAACTTCATGAAAGAGAAGCTGAGAGAGTTCAATATAGGTGTAATAAAACTAGTGCCATATAAGACGCAATGGTGAAGTGGGACTTTATAGTGGAAAATATTATATTCCAAGCCAAGGACTTGTTTTGTCTGTTTTACAAATCCTGAGAAGTTTATATGCGGAAAGTGGCATGATCAAAGTTTTTTTTTAAGATAAGTCTGGAGGTAAAGTTACATTTCATTACAACTATGTTTCATTATAACTTAGGGTGGCTAGTACATGACTGAGATAACATAGACAATGAGGTCCTGAATTAAGCGGGAGCTGACAAAGGGGTGGATTTCTGGAAAGGAATTCTCAAAGCTTACTGAAGTTAGGAGAGAAGGACACATTTTTGGAACCAATGTTTAGGTTCTAGGTTGAGAAATGGGGTCCATAAACATTCTCTTACCCCAGACTGAGAATTCAGGAAGCAGAGAAGTTGTGAAGAGGGGCAGGATAAGTGTATGGTGTTTGTGAGGTATAGAGTCTAGTCAGCACATGGTAGAAATACTGGGTCTGATGGAGGAGAAGCACATCAAGTAGACCAAGAAAGAATGAAGAGTCATGAACAGACAATCTCTAAGACTTGAAGCAAGCCTACCATCTTTTATAGGCTACATGACAGGATATGGTTAAAACAGCAGTAAGTTTTAGCTTTCAAAATTTATATTTCTCAGTCATAAAGGGAATCTGCATAAATGAATAGTAACAAATTAACGCAGTTCTCAAAAGTCACTTGAACAAATTTTCAACAATTTCCTCAGGATATAAGGCAGGATTGTAATGTAGACTACAGCTATATAGTTTCTTCCTGTTAATCATACAGGCTAGAATAGTAATTTTGGTTTCATAGCAATCATTTAAAAGTGTTGTTTTATTTTTTACAGAGAATGTTTTATATGTGTGTGTGGGCTGTGTGTGTATCTGTGTGTGATATGTTTTGTTATATAACATAGAAGCCAATCTATTTTAAGTAGAGTGACTAGTAAGTGACAGCTTTGATAAATTCAGCATCAAAAAGCATTGGTAATCTACAGTATTTTCAAAATTTGCAGATTTGAGGTGAGTTGTTTAAAACATCTTCCCATCAGGATATGCTTTAGGCTTAACAAAGGTATCCAAATGATCATTTAGAAAAGAGAAAGAGAAGAAACTTATAAATATTAACAATGTCATCTTCCTTTCCTTAAAATAAGCATGCAAGATAAATCCAAGTGGTTGAATTTTCAGTGGAAGTTTATTGTCCCAAATGAATGAAGCCACTAAATAAACAGAAGAGGAAACAGTGCCAGGACTGTAAAATCCAGCAATGCATTGCCCATTTTATGAGGTGGATAATTTCAGTGGGAATTCTTCTACCATGAGACAGGCAAATTCAATACATAAATTTCACATGACAATGTAATAATAGGCTACATGAAAAATAATGTTTAAATAATAAAAGCATGCCTTGCTCCAAACTGAATCCATTATTCATATTTTCCCATTAAACATCAACATAAACAGAATAATAATGTTAATTCAAAATTAATTATATACTATTTAAGTTCTATGTGATAATATACACATCTCTGTTTTAAATGCTTACTCTTTTCTCAGGTTCCTTGTTTTAATTCTCGAGGCAAAATTTTCCATTTTCTCTGTGTTTTATTATTGGTATGTTGTGAATATTTCAATTATGTGTCATTCTTACCACACTGTCCTTTAATACTTGTTGTTTCCCTCACTAGACTGTAAACTTCCAGGGCTGAGGGATAGATTCTGTGCCATTATTGCTGAATCAACCAATAGAACCAGCATAGTACCTTGGACAAAGAACTTTACAAGAAAGGGTTTTATTTTTAATATATTCCAAGAAAGGAGGGAGGTATCAAAACAGTCATCAAGGAAGACACAGGAACATTGTTAGGTGTTCTCATCCTAGTTTCATTATTTAGCATGATTTGCATTTTGATTTCCATAGGAGTACCATTATCTTTTCAAGGCCTAAAGTTTTTAAATTCTGTCCTGTGTTTCTTATTTGTTTTCATGAAATTTCATGACTTTCATACCAGGGTCTAATACTATAAGGTACCTTAAATGTTTGTTGGATGAATAAACCTTTACATTTGAAAATACTTTTTGCTGAAGGCAGAAGATCTTAGGACACGTTTGGAAACATTTAACAAATACAGTCTTTCTCTTTTTAACTTAGTGTATACTGAAATCTTGCCACAGTGCCAACAATCAGGTAATCCACCAAGCAACCAGCCAGTCGCCCAACCAACCAACCAACAAAAATGTATTTATTGAGCCTCTACTATGTACCCAGTACCATGCTAAGCATTAGAAGGTGTATAGCATGGTTTCCCTGATTAAGGGACTGAACACTCTTTGGTTATATGATAATCAAACTTAAAAGGTTGAATTGAATTTAATGATGTTCTTTTGGTACTTTAATTATTACACCAATGGATGGATATTTTGTTCCAAATACTGCACTATAATAAACAAGGTTCTGGGATAATATTTCTGCATTTGACACATGCATTTTCAACTATTCTAGCTCACTAGAGTAGAAAATATTATTTTTAAAGAAGACAGTCACCCATTTTATCTCTGCTGAATATCTTTTGTTAGTGACAAAATAATAAACCTCATGTTACCTTGCCTTTCTACCTATACCTTTTCGCTCTCTATGACTTTTAGTTTTTGTATAATGCTTTAATATTCATGTAAGTATAGATGACTATGCTATTTAATAATGCAACAACTGCTTCAGGGACGGTATCCATGCTGCTGGTTAGAGAAAGTAAGAGTATCAGAAAGATCATGTTCATAAATCTGACTTTATTATTTACTTTTCCAGCTCTTTCCATTTTTGATCTGTATAGCCTTGTGTATTTTAACTACAATCGTAAGACTGACTAGACTGTGAATACGTACATCCCTATGTGTGCCTCTATTTGTGTTGAGCCAATGTAGGAAAGCAAACTATAAATTTGGTGTCTGAATGTCCATCCATTGAAGACAAGATAGCCTCTTTTCAAGTTAAGAGAATCTTGTATGACCACTGAGGGTGTGAGATCTTATTCAGCTTCTTCAGCATCATCTCATGTGGTTGATCACTATTTCTCTTAAGCAATTTCTTCACTTGGTTTCCAGGACATGACCTTCTCCTGGCTTTCAATCTTACTGTTTTTTTTCAATGTTCTCTTCATACCTTTTTTTTTTAAAGAACCGTTTCACTTCTCTGCTATCTTTTACATGAGTTCATCCAATCTTATGGATTTCAACATCACCCATATGTCAATTACTCTCCTCCAAATCAATATCTCCAGGCACAATTTCTCCTCTAAACTTCAGGTTCAATTATTTATTCAACGCCAGAAGGTCCCATAAGTCACCTCAAACTTAATATGTGAAAAACTGTTTATCCCTGAATCTTCCATTCTCAGTACCTGAAACCACCATTCAGGACAAAAACTTCAGAACCACCTTTGATCTCTTCTCCTTTCTTAATCTCAGTGTTCAAAAATCTATCTTGTCATGGCTACCTCCAAAATATATACTTAACCCACTCTCTTCTCTCCACCACCCCCCTTCTCGCAGGTATCATGAGATCTTCCCTGGACTACTCTAATAGTGTCTTAACTGGTCAGAGAGAAGCAGAGAGCTTCTCCCTTTTCTGCTGACAGTCTCTTCTCAACACAGGAGCCAGATTAATTTTTTTACAAAATATAAATCTTATTGTTCTAGTCCTCTGCTAAATGGTCATTCACCATGTTCTGAACAAAATCCAGGAGCTTTTCTGTGGCCCACAAGGTCCTCCAAGATCAGCCTGTGGTATCTTCCCAACTCCATATGCCTCCTAGCTACATTGACTTCCTTGCTGTTCCTCATCGGAACAACACAGTGCAACTGAAGGTCCTTAGATGCTTCTATTCCTTCTGCTGGTATGTCTTACCTCACATAACTGAGGTTTCTGTTCAAATGTCCTGTCCTCAGCCATTTCGTGAGTGTTCTATTCTCTAATTGTGCTTTGTCTTCATAGCATCTTTCTGATATGCTACTAAGAACAGATTTATCTCCTTTACATTCTGTCTCTCCCAGTAAAATATTTCATGAAGAAGGGACTTAATTTACTGGGATATACTTAATGTCTAGAATAGTGTTTTACATACAATTTTTTTTTTCTCAGTCAATAAATTGAGATAAGCAGAATAGCATTTATTAAGGCAGGAAGCAGTTCAGTCTTTTTTGTCTGTCTCATCCTCCCAAACTGAGTGGCCTCTGGTGGTTTTGGAATACTTGCTTATACATCAGAGGGAACTTGGTATTTGCAAGTGAACACGTAATAGTTGTAGAACGAACACCTTTCTTCCCAAATGGGCCAATAAAGGAGCTGCTGCTGAGAAGCCACAAACAGCGCAGTCACCCTGTGAGGGGCTCATCGGCCTCAGCACAGAGAAGGGAGGATCACCTTTCTACCAGTGTGGGACAGGAGAAGGAAGCTCTAGCACAACAAGCATAGAAGGCTAGGTAGCTTGGGCTAGTTCTTTAATCTCTCTAAGCTTAGTTTTCTCAGCCATTAAAGGAAGCTTGTGACAAATCTTCTATGCAGAAGAATTACAAATAACAAATGTAGCTGTGTAAGGTGGTGAAGCGTAACGCTCTCCTTGGTAAGTGCGGGCTATAGAAAATGACTTTCTTTGAAAGACTAGAGTATGAGAAGAAGGGCGGGGGTGGGGGAGAGAAAACAAGGGCGGTAATAATTTTACGGTGGAGAAATATGACAAACAGGACGTTAGCCAGGTGACAAAGATTCACATCAGGTGATGTCACATTGATAATACATACTTTAGATATGATGTGTTAAGAGTGGTGCTTTATTCCTGTAGTTTTCCTCCAAAAAATCCACAGCCCCAGTATAACCATGGGAAGTCTCACACGAATCTCAGCTAAGGAAGATTCTACACGACACCTGACCAGCCAGCATTCCTCAAAACTGTCAAGGTCCTCAAAAGCAAAGAAAGTCTATAAACTGCCACAGCCAAGAGGAGCCCAAGGAGGCAGGGCATGATGAGTAAGTGTAATGCGGTGTCCTGGGACAGCAAAAAGACACTAGGCAAAAACTAAGGAAATCTGAATAAAGTATAGACTTTAATAATAATACTGTATTAATGTTGGTTTATAAAATATACCAAGTATGCCATACTCATGTTAGACGTTAATAGTAAGAGAAATTGGGTACTATCTTCACAATTTTCCTTAAGTCTAAAACTGTTCCAAAAAATTTTTATTTTAAAAAAGAAGGCTTATTGTGATTATTAAAGTGAAATAATTGCTGGTAAGTTCTAAACCTTTAATACATATCATGACTTTTAACTGGTTGCTCACTTAAGGGAACTAGTCATACTAAAATTCATCATGTAGAAAGTTTAAGTAGCACCCATTATGAAATAATGTTGTTCACAGCAGCAAAAACGTTGCTGTTCAGTAGGAAGGGAATGGTTAAGTGAGATAAGACGTATCGCACAGTCATGAAAACTGTGGCTGCAAACACTGTGAGGCAATACGGAAAGTGTTCATGATACAATGCTTCATTTAAGCAGACACAAAATTACATGCACAGTATGGTGATGGCAATTACAAAATAATTAAAAAGAAGCACATGAAAATGCTAGCAGAAAATATGTTAGGTGGGTATATTATAGGTGATTCCTCTAATTCTTTCTGTTTTCCTATTTTTTTTATAATGTGGGCATAGTATTTTGAATGGTGAAAATAAATTTAATACAATTCAAAGGTATATAAAAAGAATAATCAAAAAGAGTAACAACTTTGGATTTTAGTGTATTACTCACAAAGTGGTTAATTTTTTTCTTTTACCTCAGGGATCTTTATCAGAGAAGTCCATGAACTTGGATGAGAAAAAAGTTTTCCACCTCTATTTTCATTTACTTCTAAGAGAAATACAGCATTTTCTTTAAAAATACATGTTTTCTACAAATAACAGTAGCATAGCAGAACCTATGACTCTGTTACCCATATAAATCATAGAGAGTTTCATATTTTATTTTATGCATTTAGAAATATTATTCCAAGAAGGATTCACAGGCTTCACCATACTGCCAAAGATAACCAAGGCTCAAAAATTTAGGGACTTCTCACTGAAAAAGTGCTGAAAATACCACCATAAATAACTTGAAATTTTATGTTGTATCTATCTATGAATTTTTATGTAAGTAATAACAGAGCTTAGGAGACATCTGCTACAGTTCACGGAGGCAAAGGTAGCTAATATCAAGCATATTCATAGGTAGAAATCAATTCAATACTATACTGATCACAGACACCAAAAATTGGGGAGGGAGGAGCTGATATGAATAAGCTATTTTCTATATTTTCCACATTTAAACAAAGGTGCATTCAGAGCTATGATTTAGCATCATGGGAGGAATCAATTCCCCAGGGAACATGGCAGAAATATTTTACATGTAAATGTAACAAACCTGAGAGCAGCTGCCTTACAAACCTATCTGTTTTGTTATGCATTTGTAGGATTTCTTCACTAAAAGTGTATTATCTTAAGTCACTTGGAAAACAATACCAACATTTAACTCCCAGTTTTTTGAATGGTTGTTTGCCTGCACTCACTTGGGAAGTGTGGGCTTGTCAGATACCTGAAGGTGGTGATGATGAGAGCTAAAATGTATCGTGTCAAGCTCTATACTAATCACTTCATGCGTATCGATTCTCATTAATTCATGTAAGGTGGGAATTAGCCTCTTAGCAAGTTTGACAATTTTACACAATGCTATTTTCTATATTCACCATGCTTGCATTAAATCTCAAGGGTTTACTTACTAATCATTGCAAGTTTGTACCCTTAAACAACATCTGTTCTAAGTAACTCAGTAAGTAGAGCACCAGTCATTTTAAATGTGAAGGGTCAAGGTTCAAGTCATCAAGGTATTAACTTCAGGTCTGTGTGGTTATATAGCTGTGAGCACAACTGCCTTCTACTTTATACCCAGATGCTAAACTTAGTAAACTATGCAAATGTTCTCATTTTTGGAAGAAGCACCTTCATCTCATTCTTAAAACAGAGGAAAAAGTTTCGAGAACAATATTTAATACTTAATTTCACTTCCAAACATCTAGGGAAATTAATTTGGTCACCATGTCTTTCAGCATGGTGAATATTTCACATTTTTATGTCTCGGTCAGGTGACCTGAAAAGTACTTCATATAGAACAGATGCCACTTGAGATCAAGCTGTAGTTGACCTTTAGTGTTACTTCCTGCTCTCTCCATTCGAGGCTCCACAAAACTACCCTGGTTTTGTTCACAATGTAAACAGCTTCAGTTGGGTACTCATTGCTGTTATCCGTCCATCCGCCCATCCATACAAGCGTCTAATACATCTCAGGCACTGTCCAACATTCAAAGGACACACATATGAAAGATAAAATCCTTCTCTTCAAGGAACTCAGTGGGATACAAACAAATAAGCAGGCAATCCAAGTGTGTGATAGAAGGGGCAATGAGACAGGAAAAGCCCTGACTCAGACAGACCAAGGAGGCTGGGAGGTGAGATTTTCTGGCAGAAGTATTGTACTGAGTCGTGAAGGATAAATAGGGCTTGGCTTTGGCAAAGAGCATCATCCTCCTCCTACATCATCTGGACATTCTTGAAGCACCAAAAAGTCACCATGTTCAAAATAATAGTTATCATTATCTCTCTTCATGCCCCATCTCCACCCTTACATATTTATAGTCCCTTCAAATGAAGGAAATGGAACTGTCTTTAACAAGCTCATCCTCCAAATTCAATCATCTGTAAAGCGCTGTGTGGTCAGCATTCCCTCTCCTATTACCCTTGTCTTCCAGTCACTCTTCTTTGTCAAGTCCATTTTAGATTTGCAGTATTAATTCCTGCAGCTTTCCGGTCGATGTGGAAGTGCTTGATAAATGGTAAAACATCATACAAATGTTAGTGGGTTTTAGTCCAATTAATTTTCTTGATGATCTGATCTACCCCTGGGGTTTTAAATACCATTTATACACTGATAAATTCCAAATTTATATTTCTAGTTGTTAACTTTCTTTTGAGATTCAGACTAAAAATCCCACTGCCTACTCAGTATCTTCACTTGGATATCTAAAAGGCATTTCAAATTCTTCAGCTTAAATACTAATTCTCAATTTCTGATCTTCCTCCCTTACCCAATCTGTTCCTTTCACCATCCTCCCCATCTCAGTTGAAGACAACTCCATCTATACAGTCTAAATGCTTGAATTCCTCTTTGACATTTTTTTTTTTTTAACCACATCCATCTATTCTATTAGCAAATCCTGCTAACTCTAGCTTCAAAGGCATCTGCTCTCACAGCAGTCTAGACGGCTTGGTACTGCCTTCCTTCCTATCTCTTTCTGCTTTACTGCAGGCCATTCTCCACACCGTAGCCTGATGTTTTTACAGAAGTAAGTCAAACTGTGTTACCACTTTGCTAAAACTAAGCAAAACAAAACCCTCTGTAGCTTCCTCTTTTACTCAGAATAAAATCCAGATCATTTGTGGGCCTATTGCTATCTTTCTGACATATCCTCTCACTCTCCTATTTAGCTTCTTCCATTCCAGCTAAGGATGCTCTTGCCTTTGCCCCTGCTGTTCCCTCTGCCTGGCGAACTCTTTTCTCACATAGTTATGTGACTCCCTCCTTCCTTTTTTTTCAGGCTTTTTATTCAAATAATGATCTTAGAGAGGTCCTCCCCAATCTTAGAGAAGTCCTCCCTAGCTCCCAACAAAACACCAGTACCTCATTCATGTAACCACCTTAACCTTAGTTTATTTTCCATTATTAATTTATTTATTTCATACTACAAACATCTCTTGAGTGTGTTAGGTACTGTCCTAGGCGCTGAGAATACAGCTCTAAACAAAATAGGCAAAAACCCCTTTCTTTCATGGTGCTTACTTTCCACTAGGCACAGAGTCAATAAACAAATTAAAGAATATGCCAGATGAAAATAGGTTCTATGGTGAAAATCAAAGCAGGGATGTGTTGGCGGAGCGTGGTGGTTGCTGCTCAATAAGGAAGTCTTCCCTAAAAGAGGGCTATTTGGATAGCGGTCTGAAGGATGTGAGGGAAGTGAACCTTCTGAATGTCTTGAAGATGTATGTTTTGGATATACAGAATGGCAAATGCAAAGCCCAGAAGTGAGATCTTGCTTGATAAGTTCCAGCAGAACATCAGTAAGGAGAACAAGGTGGCTTGAAAAGGGCACCACTTCTCATGCCTCACTTCCATTACATTATAGATCTATTTTTTTCCATAGCTTATTTCTTTTCTTCAGAATGTTAGCTCCATTAGTGCATCAGCCAACATTTTGTTTTTAACCGCTTTATCCCAAGAGTCCAAGACTGAACCTTCTTCAAGGAACAGGCTCAGTAAATATTTATTGAGTGAAGTGTCATTCCCTATAGACAAGCCCAGCTATTCCCAATCCTTTAACACACTCCATGCTTTTTAGCCTTTCTTGTTTATTTCTTCTATCTAGACTGCACCTCTGCTTTTAAAACACTATCCTTTAAGACACAACTCCAATAACACTGCTTTAATGAAACACTGCCTGATCTGCTAGGCAGATGTCATTTTCCTAAATGTCATCTTCCCTGCTTCTGATGATGGTTTGTATTGTCATCACTGTTGAACAGAAAGCTCCAAGGGGCAGTGAGCCTGACTTTGAGTATTCAGGATAGAGCACCATGTATAGCCTGGTGTCTAATGGTATGTGCCAGGTGCTCAGTAATAATAAGATAAAAGAGTATCTTTTGAAGGAAGTGAGTTACTTCACAATGAACTTATCCAGTTAAAATTGCTCTTATGTTCTAGAATAGTTTACAAAGTAATTTAAGAACCTTAGAAGTTGGTCAATATCAGAGCATCTGAACATACTTTTTTGAATAATAAAGTAACCATAAGCTCCAACCTTCTTTATAAGGGGGAACAAAGGATAAGGGACTCCTTCTGAAGGGTGCCCCCTTTGCATTCTCTATGGCAATGTATACATGGGAGAGTAATCGGATCTTTTTCTTTGTCATTCAGTCCATGGTTTCCTCCCCCATTCCTTCTATTTTTAAGCATTCCAGATTGGCAGTGCTGCTATTTCAAAACTAAGAGAATAATGAGTTTTAGGCTAAAACACTGTTTTAAATCTGTAATACATTCCTGATTACTTGCAAATAAATGTAATATAAAGAAAGAAGCAATCCTTTGGCCACCTGATACAAAGAACTGACTCACTGGAAAAGACACTGATGCTGGGAAAGATTGAAGGCAGGAGGAGAAAGGTGACAGAGGATGAGATGGTTGGACGGCATCACCAACTCAATGCACATTTTGAGTTTGAGCAAGCTCTGGGAGATAATGAAGGATAGGAAAGTCTGGCATGCTTCAGTCCAAAGGGGATGCAAAGAGTCAGGCACAACTTAGCAACTAAACAACAAAAGGAAAAAAAGTGTTGGTATTAGAAACAATATGGCATAACCTTTGCTAACCATCCATAACCTTAAATGGCCTAGCTTTTCTGAGAACTGACAATTCAAGCAGAAAAATCACATTTAGGACATATTGTAAAGTGTAAAATATCTATTGCAAATGGACTGATGTGGTAACAAAGACCGTACATGTTTGTTGAACAGACTGGAAATGGATGTGCTAATGCAGCCTACTAAAGACTTGAAAGGCTTCTCCTTAGTTAATTGAAAAGCCAATTAGGAGGTCTTTCCAAGGGCACATGAGCCCAAGTAAGACTTTTCTTTTATTTCCTCATCCAAACACTTGTTTCCCTCTAATCATTAGTAATGTAATGTGAATGATGAACTCAAGCAAAGTGTGTCTTATGGTAGAATAAGGGTTGCATTATCTATTTTTCCTTCAGGGTGGTATTTAAAATCACAGCACTTTGATAAGCTCATTGTTTCTTCAATTTAGATCCATTTTAACTTGGCTACTGCTTCACTAGTTGACACTGATTTCTTATCCACATTCCAACTATGGGCATAAAATACGATGTTATCTAGAGTGTTCTTGCCTTGGAAACTGTCATCAAGTCATTTAAATAAAAGAGATACTGCCAAATATTAATGAAGCTTACTAGAAAAATGCTATGATGTAGAAGATCCCTGGGGTATAAAATTATGGTTTTACACACAAATTTCAGTACCAAATGACTGTATTTCTTTTACTGAAATACTCAGTGATATTCTAAATATTGCAAATTCTGAGAAAGTAGAATGAGTGAGCTGTCCATATGCTACATAATCACATGTTCACAGTGGCCTTTTCTATTGGTCATTGAGACCAGTTCAATCTTGAATCAACAATTCAGTTCAGGTTCCTGAAAATCATGGTATGGTTTTAAGAAAAATGTTTATATTAAGACAACAATTTAATAGCCAATTCCAAGTAAACTGTAACTGAGAAATTTTTGAATAATTTCACAAAAGAGTTTTAAATCCTATTTAAAATAGTCAAGTGAATAGAGAAATACATTTGTCCAATTCAGGTTCAAATGTTTTAACTATTATTAGTATTCTTTCCAGAGCATAAAGTATATAAAGGAAATTAAATTTTGCTTCATCTTCATAATTTAGCTAATCAAGAGGTAATGCCAACTGAGTTATCTGAATATTATTCCCACATAAAGGGAGTATTTATACTTAAAAGTCAGTCATAGGTTCTCCTTTGTCAATTTTATAATTTTAGATCAGTTTGCATTCAAAGGACAGCATTTGTAAAATAAAGGGTGATGCTATTTATGCTTGTAGAAGGATTTTATACATTTTCACCTGTTACTATTATGTAAGCTGTTAATTATGAAGACAGTTACTAAAAATTGAGATGTCTTCTGATTCTTTGGTAATGAGTTTAAGTATAGACAGATACTTTTTAGTACTAAAGTGATAATATTATTCACTTCTAGACACAATACTCCTTTTGTGCCAAGTAGTGGTAAGATAACTCATAAGGTTTAGATGTAAGGTTATCTATTGTGAAAAAAAGACATAAACTTACTTTTTTGATATAGAGAAATAGGCATTCTTCTGTTGGTGCAAAAACAGAAGAGTCAAGAGGAAATCAGGAAAGCTGGGTTCGATCCCTGGGTTGAAAACCCCTGGAGGAGGGCATAGCAACCCACTCCAATACTCTTGCCTGGAGAATCCCCATGGACAGAGGAACCTGGCAGGATACAATCTATGAGGTCACAAAGAGTTGGACGTGACTGAGCAATTAAGCACGGCGCAGCACAGAAGCCACCTCTTATGTTCTCAGAATGAACATTATTGCTATGTATGTTTTGTTAGATACCTTGCATTTTACAGTGACATATTAATAGGATGCAATGAAGATTAAGTATTTATAATGCCTCTTTATTGCTTTTTCAAGACTTTCATAGATATAAAGACAATACCTTACATTTCCCTGGAAAAGGTTAACAGAAAGAAGTTATACTATGAAATTAAGAAGGCAGACTAACATAGCATGTTCTATAAAAGTAGCTTATGTCTTGGCCTTGGTGCAGGACTTACCTATCAAAATCAGAAGTATCTTGGAAATAGCAGCTCTGATATTTCTTATATATCTGTGTGGTGGTGATGGGAGAGAGAATAGGCAGGAAGGACACAGAAGAAGAGTGGCACTTTGTAGGACAGAGAACTCGCTGGGAATTATTATACTGTCAATAAGGGAAGAGGTAATGCTCAAAATCCTTCAAGCTAGTCTTCAACAGTATGTGAGCCAAGAACTTCCAGACGTACAAGTTAGATTTAGAAGACAGGGGAACCAGAGATCAAATTGCCAACAGCCACTGGATCATAGAAAAAGCAAGAAAATTCCAGAAAAACACCTGCTTATTCTTCATTGACCACTCTAAAGCCTTTGACTGTGTGGATCACAACAAACTGTGGAAAATTCTTCAAGAGATGGGAATACTAGGCCACCTTACCTGCCTCCTGAGTAACCTGTATACAGGTCAAGAAGCAACAGTTAGAATCAGACATAGAACAATGGACTGATTCAAAACTGGGAAAGGAGCACATCAAGGATGTATATTGTCACCTTGCTTACTTAACTTATATGATGAGATAGTTGGATGGCATCATTGACTCAACAGACATGAGTTTGAGCAAACTCTGGGAGATAGTGAAGGACAGGTAAGCCTGGTGTGCTGTGGTCCATGGGGTTGCAAACAGTCAGAAATGAATGAATGACTGAACAAAAACAACAACAGAGTACATCATGCAAAATACCAGGCTGGATGAATCACAAGCTGGAATCAAGACTGCCAGGAAAAATATCAACAACCTCAGATATGCAGATGATACCACCCTGATGGCAGAAAGCAAAGAGGAACTAAAGAGCCTCTTCTGAAGGTGGAAGAGAGTGAAAAAGCTGGCTTAAAACTCAACATTCAAAAAACTAAAATCATGGCATCTGGTCCCATTACTTCATGGCAAATAGATGGGGAAAAATGGAAGAAGTGGCAGATTTTGTTTTCTTGGACTCCCAAATCACTGCAGATGGTGACTGTAGTCATGAAATTAAAAGATACTCACTCCTTAGAAGAAAAGTTATGACAAATCTAGACAGCATCACCTTGCTGACAAAGGTTTGTATAGTCAAAGCTATGGTTTTTCCAGTAGTCATGTATGGATGTGAGAGTAGGACCATAAAGAAGACAGAGTGCTGAAGAATTGATACTTTCAAACTATGATGCTGGAGAAGACTCTTGAGAGTCTCCTGGACTGCAAGGAGATTAAATCAGTCAACCCTAAAGGAAATCAGTCCTGAATATTCATTGGAAGGACTGATGCTGAAGCAGAAACTCCAATATTGTGGTCACCTGATGTGAAGAGCTGACTCATTGGAAAAGACCCTGATGCTGGGAAAGATTGAAGGCAGGAGGAGAAGGGGGCAACAGAGGATGAGATGGTTGGATGGCATCTCTGACTCAACGGACATGAGTTTAAGCAAATTCCAGGAGATAGTGAAGGTGAGGGAAGCATGACATGCTATAGTGCATAGGGTTGCAAAGAGGAGGACATAACTTAGTGACCAAACAAAAAAAAGGAAAGAGGGCACAGAAAAAGTAGGCTGAGTATCAAGACGAATATCAGTTATAATACAAATTACTCACAGCTAACCCTGGGCAGCATATTCTATAACTTTGTAAGTTTGGCTCCATCATTAACAGTTTATCAGTGTTAACAAGGGGCACGTCCACATAAGGCTTTCTGGCCTCTGAGTTGACTGTTTTTCAGTCTATTTCCTTTTGCTAGCTAACTTTAACCACCTTTCTTTCCTCAATCAATTATAGTGACAATGAAGTGTGCCCAAGTCACGTTCCAGGATAGTGAAATGTTCAATGCCCTTGTTTTTAAGTTATGTAGTTTCTTCTGTATATATTTATTAGAAACTATAAAATTAGTTGACTGTGCCTTTGGTGGTATTTATGTTTTGATTCTATTAGACTATATTCAACTTATTGTTGTTGTTTCTGTTGGAGGACTCAATACTGATTCCCAGAATTAATTGCTGGGCATACCCCTCTATCATAAATGAACTTCATCCAGTTTACTGATTTGGGCATTGTATCTAAAGGCCACAGTTTTATACTGTTACTAGACCAGCATTTATCAGTGTGTGGCTCATAATCAGTCAGCTGGAGATGACGTATGAACTAATCTAATTTACCATCATATTTTAGGGCAGAGGATACCGAGGCAAGAAAGTAAGAAATGATTTTTCCAAGTTTCCAGGCCAACTGTTCTGGTTACCATTTTGTATTGTCTCCCACTTGAAATTAAGAGTTTGCATTTTTATTTCACACAAAAAATAACATGACCTAGTATTAAGTGAGAAACCTCATCTGGACATTTGTAGATGGTTAACTCACATCCAAAATGATTCACACTAACTAGCATATACTTGACAGGGCTGCATATTTTGCCATTTTCCCAGAAAGAACAGTTGATGATAGAGTGCACATACCCTGTTATTCACTTTATTTCTCACAAGCACTGCTGTCTATAGAATTTAGTCATGCTATTCACACTGGGTTCTTCCTTGAAGAGTTTCAAACACTGATCAGGGGTATTATTACTAGTCCATTGAGTCCAACTGAATCACACAGTTCCTTGCTCACATACACACATCAATAATTATAGGCCCAGAGAAGACTGGACATTATGCCAGAAGCTTGTTTTAAAGGAAATTATCATTCTCAGCCAATTAGCTCAGACTCTATTATATTCAGAATTGCAAACTATTCAAATAAACATTAAGTATACATTAAGATGCTAAGAAATTAAAAAATCAGAACTATTTTTTTCTGGTCCTCTACTTTATTTCTGCTCCATTTCATTTTATTTTAGTAGGTTTTAAACTTTAGAATTAGTTTGCAGGTATACAAGCATGTTCTTTATTTCCTGGAAGATGTTATGGTCATCTTTCTCTCCCTATCTCTCTCTTCCTCTCCTTCTTTCTCAGTATTGGTTTTGCTTTGTTTCAGCAATGTCTTATACTTTCCTTGGCTCACTTCAAAACATATTCTTCCATTAGGTCTTTTTCATGATGGCAGCACTGCAGTTTCCACAGTCAGTCAGAGATGTCTCACTGCATCAAACGTCTTTGAGTGGGGCCATTTCACCAGCATGTCTCAGGACGTCCCCTGGCAAGTTTCTCAGGCGCCCGTCTGTGTCATGAGTGATGGAGGGTTATCTGCAATACTTTGCTATTTTTCTTTTTTTAGTTTTCAAAATAAATACTTTTATGAGGTTTTTGCAGTTGTGCTATTAAGTATAGATATATAATTTATTAAGCACATATGATTTCACTAGAATATTTAACTGCATTTAAAATATACCCAGAAACTAACAATAGACTACAATTATATTTCTTATTCATATTCTAACAGATAATCCCTTTTACAAAATGTTCCTTTGTCCCCTAGAGCTGTTACATTGGATGGAAATGTACAAACTTTCAGGTACAAAGTTGTCTCTATTCTCTTCTTTTCCCAAGGTGCACTGCAAGCAATGAATAAAAGCTTATGTTTCCCTTTCTCTTTCATCAACTTTTAGCCCAATAGTGAAATTGGGTACATAAAAACAAAAATTCACCTTTTACCTTGAATTTCAGTGTTGATGCAGATGCAATTAGTTCCTACCCTTCCTCCCATTTACATTGAGGGGATTAGAGAAGAAGCTCTGAACATTTTGAGATCCTTAAGTTGGTTTCTATGAACTCCGAGTGGTGCTAATAGCATTTTCAGAAAGGAATTTTTACTTACTAGCTGAGAAGAAAAAGAACATTGTAACCCTTTGAAAAGAGAGTTGCTAAAAGAGTTTTCTATTATTAACCTATCAAACTCTTACAGAATCAATCGGAAATGGGCAATTCTGTTTTCCTTGTCTTTGCCTCAGCATATACTGTCAATTAAGCCAAATAAAGCTCCAGAAGAAGTGGTAGTAAAGCTGGTTGCAAATCAAGAGGGATTCAATTCTAGAGAAGAAACCGTGAAACTCTTTTGATTAAGAATTTGAGCAGAACTTAAATTCTAACCTCAGAGTCAGTAGATACTGCTAAATATCTACAGATTTTACAAACTATATTGAACAGCAGATGAGCAATCTGGGATGCTGGCTGCAAAACTGATGAACTCTGAATCCTGGAGCTTTGTAATACGTTTTTTTCTTTCTTCAATTATAAACTAGATAAATTAGTACTTTCCCTACTCTTGTTTCACCCATTATTGTCCAAGGAAAACTGAATTAGCTTTCCTTAAACAGTTCTGAGACACTCATAAAAGTTCCACATATGAATTATTTGCTTTGCTTTTTTTCCCAAATGGAATAACACATATCTTTTTTTTTTTTTTGCCTCTACAAACTGTCAGCTCTTTTAGAATTGAACTGTGCCGCATAAAACAACTACTGCATATTTTTTCCTTTTACATCTATTCAGGCTGATTTTCCATCCCATAGCTTAGTGACTTAGCTATCACACTCTACTGAAAAGAACTCTTTGAGTGTTGAATGAAAATCCACTTGCCCTTCTTGCTTTCTTCTCACCCTCTGCAGGGAAATTTTCACTCCAGTGAGCTCTGAGAAGATGCATTGTTACACCCTGCTGAGCCAGAACAGAAGACTATGGATGAATAAATACCAACACAGTGTATCATTTCTGTACTAAACACAGAATTAGCCACTGGCCTCTACCTAATGAGTCTATAATCTAACTAGACAGGTTGACAACACCCAGAAGGGAAAAGATAAGCACGCACATCAATGCAGTGAATTAAAATGGAAAAAGTGGCATATTAAGATGTTTGTCAATGTAAAATCACCCTGACACTAACTTATAACTGAAGCACTGTTTTGCAGTTTCCAAAATATTTTTATAGTCACTGTCTTACCTGTCTTACACTATGATGCCAGTGGTTTACTGGGCAAGGATATCAGATACATACTTGGGTTTCAGATAATAATGAACAGGGTATAATGCAAGTTCTCAGTATTGAACTGTAATGATCCAATTCCTGTAAGTGATTTTTCTCTGAGGACCTCATTCCCCATTTCAACATCTCAGCCATGTGAGCAAACGGCATTCAGGCTTTTTCCTTGGAGCAAAAGAGACGTCGTATGTTTGAATTGATGTATTACTAAAAACAAAAAATATGTTTCTACATCCTATGGAAAAGTGAATTCTCTTGGGATCATGTCTCAACTAAAACTACAGTCCTTCTTCTGCCCCAGGTTTGAAACTGAAGCAGGAGGTAGTTTGGAATTAGGAGCCTCAGAGACCTGCCCTGAAATCCTACTTCATTACACCTTAGTCTAAGTAGTTCGGCCAGTTTTACATATTCACAGGTTTCTTTTCACAGAAGATAGTTTCCCCAGAACTGCAATGATCATGAGAAATCTCCTCAGAGCTCTAAGTTGTGTGCTTAGATAACTTGTCTATCTAAGTGACATACTTGAAAAATATTACTTCCTAGGTCTTGCTCCAAGAAGTTCTGAAACACCTTTAATTCAGTACTTCTTAATAACAAAAGGTATCATTTCCTGGTGAAACATGTGAAATGACTACAAGATATTTATATGCTGGCTTTCTCCCAGCAAAACATTCAGGCATATGGCAAGGAAAAACATTCTATCATAAAGTACCATGATTTCTGTGCATTGACCTTGAAGTTTTCTTTTTAGCCAGCCAGATAGAGGTATATTGGATATGCAGACAGTTATATAGGTTAGTGAAAAGGGAATAGATATGTTTTCTAACTTTCCCTAAATATCTTTTCCCATTAATAAAAAATATGGACTTTGTTTAACAGAATAAATTCAATGCACACATATACAAAACACATAAAATGTATATAAAGTTAACAGCCTGCCGGGTGGAGGTGAAAGAGAGAGAGAGGGCAGGAAGAGAAGGACCACATGATAACTACACTCGAGACAGGATGACTTTATGAGCCAGAGTTCGGCCTCCAGCCAGAGCAGAAACACCTGAGAAGTGCTTATTCAGATTGATTAAACTCCCAGTTCTGGGGGATGAGGGGCTGACTAGTCTCCCAGTAGGCAGCAGCACAGTGGTCAATGGTCAGTAAAGGGGTTGAAGCTTAGCCTTACTGTGTACTTACGATGTGAGCTTGGGCTACTTACTTAACTTTTCTGGACTTAAGTTAGAATAATTAGAATAAAATTAGAATAATGGTATCTACACTGCAGGGTTATTGTAAAGACTAAATGAGATATTATGTTCTAAGATCTAAGAGTTTGGCAGAGTGCCATGAAACTCTCAGTGAATGAATATTACTGTTAGTTAGACAACCCATTCCATTGCACGGTAGCTTTGTCATTAAGCTATTTTTAAAAGAAATCAAAATCTCTCTCTGTATAACACTCATTTGTGGTTGTTCTCCCATCTGGAAAAACCTAGGAGAATTTGATGGAAAACAAGGCTGCTCCTTCTTCCTCTTGGCAGCTAGTCAGTGTCTGAAGCACTATGCGTTCTCTGTGCTGTAGACTTTGGCACGTAAACCCTCCCCTCTCCCATCCCACTGAGTTGTTAACAGTATAGACTTTGCTGGGAGTATAAAATGAACCCTACTGCTACCACTTCTTCCTCAGAAGGAATCAAAATGGGAATCATAAAACACTCAACAAAGAATATGGAAATTGTGGAACTGAGAATTTCATTGTTTTTGATGAGTTTACAGATACTGAACTTAATGGATGTAAGTGAAAGTGAAACTTGCTCAGTTGTGTCTGACTCTTTGTGACTCCATGGACTGTAGCGTGCCAGGCTCCTCTGTCCATAGAATTCTCCAGGCCAGAATACTGGAGTGGGTAGCTGTTCCCTTCTCCAGGGGATCATCCCAACCCAGGGATCGAACCCAGGTCTCCCACACTGCAGGCAGATTCTTTACTGTCTGAACCATCAGGAAAGCTCTCAATGGACATAAACCTAATACATATAAGCTTTGTTTACATATTTTCCAACTTAGCCTTATTCCTCATGCCTTAAGAATCATTAAAACATTAAAAGCCTCCAAACTTGTTTCTCTTTCAGTATTAAAGGTATCGCAGTCCACCTAGTTGCTCAAGTGTGAAAGCCAAACACACAAACACACTTGACTCTTCACTTTCTCATCCGCTCAGACAAGAACACTGATTCTATTGTCCAGATAGTTGCCATTTTATTTCCTTTTTCTCCTCCCATGGTCATTAGAGCCGAGACTTCCAAAAAGACAGATACTCAGCACACAACAGCCTAGCAGCAAAGGGCCCAAGGCACTAAACGCCAGAACCTCATTCTCTGATGGCCAGCTGCCTCTTCCCACTCCCCGAGCCCAGCGGAGTGCTCTAGGGCAAGGAAGCCTGCTGATGGAGTCCATGAAAGAAACCAGAGGAGGTGAGTTTGGAGTGGCAAAAGGAAGAGCTTGTGCACATTTTGTAACTTCTCTTCTGACTCTTATTTTTCTGTAACTCATAGTTTATACAGACTCCAGTGTTAATTTTCTAAAAATGCACATTTGATCAGGTTGCTCCCTTGCTTATAACCCCCTCCATGCCTCCCAAGCACGTTTTATAGTTTCCTTCCACCTGAAGTTCTCTGTAGCCTTTCACTCCAACTTCTGCTCTGTCTTCCTTCTCTGCTGCCTCCCAGGTTTAAGGCATAACAAATGGCCCAGTGTTTTGCGTTTCCCTGAGATTTGGGTTTATAAACTGGGATCGTATCTGGCACAGCTCTGGACTCATAGTAAAAGCTACCATATGTGCCTGCTGAATGAATGGATGCCTGCACTTTTGCACACCATACTCCCCGTCCTGGGCATGGCTGATACATTCATACTCTTCCTTCAGGTCTCTGAATCACGTTTCCTCTGTGAAGTCTTCCCTGGCTTCTCCCCATAGGCCCTCCTGCTGTGGGAGACTCATTCCTCTGTCCTCCCTCAGTAGTCGGTACACGTTCCTTTTAGTATTTATCTCCAGGTGCCACTTGAAATTGCTCACATACTTCTGCTATTTTACCAGACACGTGTCCTTAATGGCAGAGGCTTATTCATCCACAGTCGCTCAGAATGAAAGCCTGGTTGATGCATGGTGGGTACATAGCCCATTTATTAAACAGTATCATCTAGCACATGGGGTGGGGACAGGAATAAACATCTGAAATAATTTTTTTCTATGGTTCAGTTCAGTTCAGTTCAGTCACTCAGTCGTGTCCGACTCTTTGTGACCCCATGAATAGCAGCATGCCAGGCCTCCCTGTCCATCACCAACTCCTTGAGTCTACTCAAACCCATGTCCATTGAGTTGGTGATGCCATCCAACCATCTCCCTTCTCCTCCTGCCCCCAATCCCTCCCAGCATCAGGGTCTTTTCCAATGAGTCAGCTCTTCACATGAGGTGGCCAAAGTACTGGAGTTTCAGCTTCAGCATCAGTCCTTCCAATGAACACCCAGGACTGATCTCCTTCAGGATGGACTGGTTGGATCTCCTTGCAGTCCAAGGGACTCTCAAGAGTCTTCTCTAACACCACAGTTCAAAAGCATCAATTTTTCGGTGCTCAGCTTTCTTCACAGTCCAGCTCTCACATCCATACATGACCACTGGAAAAACCATAGCCTTGACCAGATGGACCTTTGTTGGCAAAGTAATGTCTCTGCTTTTTAATATGCTATCTAGGTTGGTCATAACTTTCCTTCCAAGGTATTTTCGTATCCCTTTCCCATTCCTTGATAATAGCTTGGGAAAATTCTTAACTTTTAAGTCACTTTTGGCTATCGCATGCCCAGTCTTGTTAATGCCTCAACTTGATTTAAACCTCTTCCCCTCCTACCATCTGCCTGGGCTTGTACTGGGACCCTGACAGCTCTGAGGTGGGGAGACATGGTCCGCCTCTGGGCATCATCTCTTCCTTTACTCTTCAAAGTCTAATTCTTCCAGCGTGTGTTACATGCAGAGAGGAGGGTTTTTTATTTAGTGAACTGCAGTGGCATCCTTTTTTGGTGCTAGTTGCAGCTGTTTGTCTAGTGAATGGTAACTGGTCACTGAAACGGCAGGTAATCACCGGCTGGCTCTCTCATGGGGTCAATCTGTGGATTCATCCTAGGGTCACTGCACTATTTGGCTCAAGCTTGACCTCCTGCATCCCCGTGGTACCCAGCCTGCACTGCCTAGCCTGTTGATACTGGGTTTCCTTGACTGGTAGCAGCTCTCTTGAGTGGTATGTGCAAGTTAGCTGGGTTTGGTCAAGGTCTCTTCCTCACGATCACTTCAACCACAGAAAACCTGCACTCTCTTGCTATGCCCGATACTAGGCTGCAGTGGTTTCCCTGTGTTTTCTCTCTCTTTATCCTGCCAGCTCCCGATTCACTTCTTTCTTTTTCTGACTGGCAAAGGAAGCAAGTCCACAGACCCCGAGCAGATGTCTGACTTGGGATCAAACCATCAACTCTCCTTCTTAAAAGCAACTCCAATGTCAATGAATGATGCCCTTAGGGCATCCCTTTCACTTGGATTGAGATGAGGACAGGAAACACCCCTCTCTTGTGGAGACCATGGGATTACCTCTAAACACAAACACTGACTCTCACATAAAGACAACTATTCTGGAGGCTCTCTTTCCCCCTCTCCCACTTCTCTTTATACAGACTAGGGTGAGAGAGGAGTGGTTGACTGTGGTGGGGTCCTTCCATAGCAGCCCCTAGGAAGGCGGATAGGCCCCAGCGCCAACTTTATAAAGAGCACCCCTCAACATGCCATTATAAAGCTCACTGAATAAATGAATGAGCAGGTGGATATATCTATTTTGAATAATTATTAATAGAGGGGAATACTGTTGCTGTGCAGTGAGGTGCTAGGTGGACTGTGAAACAGAACAAGATGTGTCAGTGATAGAAGTCAGTGATAGAAGTCCCGTGGAAATGCCCGGACTTCTGTCTCAGGGCTCAGCTGCCAGCCTGCCATCTTTGTACAACCCCTGCTCGTCTCAGCACACTGTGTGTTCATAACATTAATTAGTAATGCTGCTGCACACATCAATAGAGACTGGGAGAATTACCACCAAAAAATCAGACTTGTAGTTTTTAGAATTTGCAACACTGAACAGGGAGGAAAATGTCATTTCTGCCAGAGGCACAGCATCTTGCCCTGCTCTTATGTAAACTCACTGACAGGCAATCGCAGAAACTGCCTGCACTTGCCTCTGGGCAAAATGTCTCCTTTTCATAGAAAAATGTCACCTTTTCTCTAGGAAATGGCAGGTAGTTATTTATTTTTTTTTCCAAAGGAAAAATGACCTTTGCATTTTGTTAAAAATATTCTCAAGGACTCAGCTTTGATGGAAAACAATTCCCTATCTTTTAATTTATACATGAGGTTTTGCTTTGTAAATTCTGAGATTACACCTGTCACCACTGATGTAGCCTGTGGGCGAATGTCAATGACCAGAAAGTCCCAGGACCTTGTTTTCCAGGAATGTTCCCTGTGTGCAGGTTGGATGCCTGTAACCCAGGCTCTTGGCTCTTGCTGCATCTAGGTACCCCCCCCCCCCAAAACCCATACACACGCACGCACACACACACACACACCGCATACCGCACCACACAAACACACCCCCACATACACACTTTAAGCTCACTACTGTAACACTTTAAAGCTTTTATGTGCTAATTCAGCATTACAATTTCATACAAACCCATGAGAAACTGCTCTGAGAAAATGCCAGTGCTGCAATATACTGATTGTTTGTCTATCATTATGCTTAAAAGTATATTTACATATACACACTACTTTACGTAAGATAGATAATCAACA